CTCCAAAGACTAGTTTTAAAGCAATCCATACCTGCCTACGTTAACCTTTTTGCATTGAAACTTTACATCAACATGTAAGGCTGTAATCCATTTTACAGATCATCATCATTTTCATTTAGGGTTTGGATTTGGACAACAAATATTTGGTTACTATGTTTTTGTTGGAATTTTGTAATACAAAATATGCAAGTAACGTCCACCGGCGCCGGAAAAAGAATGAAAAACAGTGCCATACTTGGTGGCTTGCCGTTGAGAGTCATTTTAGTAACAATCTCAGCTCAGTAAATACGATCACGTGGCACAAACCCTTTTCCTTTCCCCTACGTCCACGTCACCACGATGATACCAATGAACCGTCTTCCACTGTTGGATCACAACACATCAGTTTTGGTCCTTTCTCTCTCATTATACTGCAAAACCCGGGGACCCTTTTACTTCCTTTCTCTATCAGAAAAATCTCTTTAGCATCATCAAAAAGACCTGGTAATCTTTCTTCCAGCCTTTTTTGTTACTACTTTCTTATTGTGTTTACTGCCCTTTATTTTATGTCGAGAATCTTTTGTATGGACTTGGCCATTTGGTATATGATATTTCTGGAAATATGATGTTGTGGCTGTGAGATAATAATAAGTTATATCTTCTTTTTATTGACATGTTGATCAATATTGGATTTTTTTTGTTTGGGTTTTAGAAAAAGAGGGGTTTTTTGTTTTAAGGTACTTTTTTTTGGATTGATTATTCTCTGTATTGTTTTGGTGCTTGTTTATTTAGTTATTGATATGTTGGTTAAAATGGCGTTTTTGATGCTTTGGTGAATTTAGGTTTTTAATTGTTGAAATGGAAAATGGGGTAGGAAAGGTTGATGATACTGCCACGGTAGACAATAAGATTGTGGATGACAGAGTTGCTAATGAGAACTTGCAGGAGAAGGCTGTTGGGGGTTTGAATGAAACGAAGGATGTAGAAGATGAAGTTTTTGTGAAGGCAATTGAAACAGGGGAGAATTTGCAGGAGCTGGATGGAAGTGCTGAACTGGGGGACGACAGCGGAGTTTCTGGTACAATTGGAAATGGCGAGACAATCGGTGATTCTGATTTAGAGGAAGTTAAGGAGAACTCAAATTCAGAACCCGAGGCTGAGAACTTTGAAGAGGCTATCGAGGTTCTAAGTGATGTTGGACTCGAGGAGGATGTGGTGCCAAATGAGGCCGGACCTCAGACGGATGTGGCTTCAGGTGACATTGGACCACAGTTGAATGTGATTCCATGTGAGCTTGTCGCTCAGGAGGATGTGGCACTGTCAGTGGATGAGCAGAAAGAGGAACCGTTGGGCATGTTGAATGTTGGTGGAGGTGTGATGTCCGGTAAGATTGTCTAGGGAGGGACTGAACTGGGAGCAGGGACTAATGAACTAGTGTTAGGAAGGAGGTACCTGAAATTGGTTGTACGGGAGGAACTGAAATCCCGAGGGATGAGAATGAGGGAAACATAAAGTTGGATACGATAATTGAGAATCATGTTAATGTAGATGATGGTACAAAATATCTAGAGGAAACGTTGGCTGATAAAAATTTGAAAACTCCGGATGTTGCTAAGGTGGAGGAGGATGTTAAAATGGATCCAACGGTGGAAGTTTTTCCTCAAGCAGGTAAGGATGAGGAGGAACAAAGTGAGGATGCAGTGGTTACTGATTATCAAGATCAAATGGCCGAGGCCTCTGCTGATACTTCAGCAAGCATGATTGTCGATAAAATTGAAGCATTAAATGACCAATCTGCCCATTTTGATACACGGGATCAGGGAAAAGAGAGTGCGGAAGTGAAAGGTGCCAAAACCAATCTTGATTCAGTGGGTGCTGTAGATGAGGGTGAAAAAACATATTCAGCTTTGGCTACTGTGGAGACTGCAAATAACGGAGAAGTTAAAGATTCGTCAGATGCAAGGGAAATAAAGTATAATGGTGCGGTTGATAAACTGAAAGATATGCCAGCTGATCCCAGTAGATCTATTGAAGGGACAGTTGCTCCTGAATTTGGAGACTCCCCGTCTCCTGAAAACCTTAGAGACCAGAAGAATGAGAGGATTGAGACTGGTAAACCAGATTTGAGATCAGAGGTTCGTGACGGCTTTCAATCACTGCTCGCTGATGGAATTAAAATTGAAGATATTAATTCAGTGACTGAAGAATTTGAAAAGAAAACAGAGAAAGATCAGGAAGTTAAGCAAAGTACCAAAGTGTATCAATCAGGAAGTACCAGAACATGCTCCAGAAACTGAAGTGTCTGGAAAGAAAGCAGATATAATTCAGGAAATGAAGCAAAATATCCCCTTGATTAGAGAACGTGAACTTCCGCCTATTCCAGTGCCTTCATCATCTGTGAGATCTGTAAATTATGCTACCCCTCCTCATCCTGCTGGCCTTGGGCGTGCTGCTCCACTGTTGGAGCCTGTACCTAGAGTGGTGCAACAGCCTCACATAAATGGCATCTTCTCTCAGGCACAGACACAACGGAATGAAGATCCTGCAAATGGGGAGGCTGAGGAGGGTGATGAAACTCGTGAAAAGCTTCAGTTGGTTAGAGTTAAGTTTTTGCGGCTTGCACACAGGCTTGGGCAGAGTCCTCATTATGTTGTTGTAGCACAGGTTTTGTACAGATTAGGGCTAGCCGAGCAGCTACAGGGGAGAAATGGGGGCCGTGTTGGTGCCTTTAGCTTTGATCGTGTGAATGCTATGGCAGAACAGGCACCAACACCGGTACAAAGAAGGTTCAGGATGTTGTGGGTAATGTACATGGTATTAGGGTCCGCATAATTGATACACCAGGCCTTCTGCCTTCCTGGTCTGACCAACTCCAGAATGAGAAGACCCTTCATAATGTAAAGCGTTTCATTTAGAAAACACCTCCGGACATCGTGTTGTACCTTGTTAAGTTGGACATGCAAACGAGGGATTTTGGTGATATGCCCCTCTTGCGCACCATCACTGAGATTTTTGGTCCATCTATATAGTTTAATGCAATTGTGGTTCTGACTCATGCAGCTTCTGCTCTACCTGATGGTCCTAAAGGTGCAGTTTCTAGTTATGACATGTTTGTCACTCAGCGCACTCATGTTGTCCAGCAGGCTATTCGTCAAGCAGCTGGAGATATGCGGGCCATGAATCCTTTTTTATTAGTGGAGAACCACTCTGCATGTAGAACAAACAGGGCAGGCCAGAGAGTGTTGCCAAATGGTCAGGTTTGGAAGCCACATTTGTTGCTACTTTCCTTTGCTTCTAAACAAGATACTCCGGGAAAGCTTTCTGCTACTCAATCGAGGACACCTCCTTTACCTTTCCTTCTTTCATCTCTTCTTCAGTCAAGACGACAAGTTAAGCTGCCTGAAGAGCGGCAGTATGGTGATGAGGATGATTTAGATGATGATTTGGAGGAATCCTCCGACTCTGAGGATGAATCAGAATATAATGAGTTACCACCTTTCAAGCGGCTGACTAAAGCACAGGTAGCTAAGCTTACTAAAGCTCAAAAGAAGGCGTGCTTTGATGAGTTAGAATATAGGGAAAATCCTTATATGAAAAAGCAATAGAAGGAAGAGAAAAGGCAACGGAAGATGATGAAGAAAATGGAAGCAGCAGCAAAGGATCAGCCTAGTGAGTTTGGTGACGATGCAGAAGAAGAAAATAGTGGTGCTTCTTCTGTTCTAGTTCCCATGCCAGATTTGGCATTGCCTGCTTCTTTTGATTCCGATAATCCTACCCATTGGTTTCGTTACCTTGATTCCTCCAACCCGTGGCTTGCGAGGCCTGTTCTAGATACTCACGGTTGGGATCATGATGTTGGTTATGAAGGTATTAATGTGGAAAGACTGATTGTTGCTAAAGATAAATTTCCCATTTCATTTTCTGGCCAGATTACAAAGGACAAAAAGGATGCCAATGTCCAAATGGAACTAGTCAGTTCTTTGAAGCATGGGGAAGGTAAAGCAACTTATGTAGGTTTCGATATGCAGTCTGTTGGAAAGGACTTGGCCTATACACTACGTGGTGAGACAAGGTTTAGTAATTTCAGGAGGAACAAGGCGAATGCCGGTATCTCAGTTACACTCTTAGGTGATACATTATCACCCGGAGTGAAAGTTGAAGACAAAGTGATTGCTAATAAGCGGTTTAAGGTTGTCATGACGGGGTGTTATGAGTAGTTGTGGAGATATTGACAAAGATTACCCTCTGGGTTGCTCCTCATCTACACTCGGGCTGTCTGTCATGGATTGGCACGGAGATCTTGCCATTGGATGCAATATACAGTCGCAGGTTCCTGTTGGACGGTTTACAAACTTAATAGCACGAGCCAATTTGAATAAAAGAGGCGCAGGACAAGTCAGCATACGAATAAACAGCTTGGAACAGCTTCAGCTTGCTTTGATATCTCTCCTTCCCCTACTGAAAAAGCTACTCGTTTCCCCCCAACAGATGCAGTATGGATAATGACGAGAACTAGGCTCCAAGTGCTGCTGTATCAGCTGCATATGCTGAAATTTCTTGAACTATCCTTGTTTAAAGATAAACTATATCTTTGCAGATTATAGTTCCTTTGTCATATTATTTTGCATAAGATAACTTTTGTTCCCTTTTGCCTATATTATATTTGTTTTGACGAGTGCAAAAACTCATACATCTTGAATTTGGTCGATCCCAAGTCCCCACCGTTTTTGGTTTTTGTGACTGTTGGTTCTTGGCTATAGTAAAAGAAACGAGTTATACCAATATTTCAATTTATAAATGATTTCTTACGTTAATATATTTATGTACAGTTGCAGGTCTACTTGCATCAAATTTGATTGAAAGTTTTTATAATTTTTCTGTTTTTCCTTGCAATCAGTTCATCAATATAAACATTGCAAGATGTAGATAATCATTTAAAACAAAAACTATGCTCTAATCACACATTCACAACTGATTTCACTGGCAAGTTCTCGATAAGGTGCGCAAATGGTTAACCAACATCAGTGGTTACGGCTCCGAAATCCTTTGCAGCAGTTGCACAAGTACTCTGTTCCTTTTTTTTGCTCTTGCGGCTGACGGTAACTGATCATCTTTCTCGACTGCAATTCCTCTAAACATTTCACCTTTTCGAGTAAAACTCGATCATATACTATGAAACCTTGTGGAATTCCATACTGGCATACTTGTTGAGGATATGTTGAAGAATGAGACGAGTTGTAAGATAGTTGAAGACCTCTTGGAAGCACATGCTGTGGGATAACATACGGATGCCTCAGTAACATACTTGCACTCCACCTTCGGTTTGGATTGACATCAAAGCACTTGGCTAAAAAATCCTTGCCTAAAATCGACATATTCTCCGGTATGTTGGGCGTTTCTCCCCTCAAGAGCTTGTTCATCAGATCATTTGCATCATAATTCTCCCATGGCAATCTGTTGCCGGTCATCATTTGAACGACGACGCATCCCAGAGACCATACATCCAATGCACCACTTACGTCTCCGAGTATTGATTCAGGAGACATGTAGGGTATTGAACCTCGAAAACCGAACCCCATTTCCTTCACTCTTTCTTCTTTAGCTATCCCAAAATCCCCAATCTTTAGATTCGGCAAACCAGTACCGCCATGAGGAGGGAAGACCAGAATGTTGGCCGGTTTCAAATCGGAGTGAACGTACCCTTTTCTATGAATGCTCGAAAGACCTTCAAGTATCATCCGTGTGTAGCACGCAACATCTCTTTCCGGTATATCGCCGCCATACTTGTTTATCAAGTCTTCCAGATTACCTCCCGAAGCATACTCGAGCAATATGTTGTAAACCATTCCTCGTTCTCGCTCAATGCTTGTGAATCCTCCGTAGCACTGAATAATATTCGGAGAATCGACAAATTGCTGGATGATTTCTTCTTCCATCCGTAGAGAAGGAGTGTGATCCTCATCGGCGGATTTCATGGCGTAAACTTGATTGTAAACCAGGGTTATCGTCTTCACCAGATGCACAACACCAAAGCAACCTTTTCCAAGAACCTTTATCTTCACTACTTTGACGTCCATTCTCCCGGATTTGTTTTTTTTCTTCTCAACCAGAACTATCTTTTAGAGTGTTAAAAAACTCTTTTTATATATGAGTTAGGTCGGTTTGTTATTTTTATAATAGTTTTTCTTTTATTTATATATTTAGCGATTTCTAATCTTATAATTACAATTTTTAAATTTATTATCTAATTAAAAATATTAGAGAGTAGTTCAGTCTATATAGGATTAGAGTTATCAAGTTTCCTAGTTCCACTTGAAAAACGATATTAAACTATTAGTCCTTCATGAAGTATATTAACAATTTTAGCCTTAAATTTCATATACTTGTTTCCTTTATAGATTACAACATCGCTTTTGTTTTGTGGTGATAGGGTCTGTATTCTTGTATTCAACCGGAAACCTACAACTACTGTGCACGACGGATATGGAAATGGTGAAGAAAATAGCCCCACACAAACCCTTAAGCTTAGGGAAGCCAAATTATCTAACTAAGGACAGAGGCCCCCTCCTGGGACAAGGCATCCTATCCTCTAGTGGCACCATTTGGGCACACCAACGTAAAATTATTGCTCCACACTTGTTTCCCGACAAGGTTAAGGGCACGGTAAACCTAATGGTGGGTGCTACTATTTCAATGGTAAGATCTTGAGAGGGTAGAGTTGAAGTGGAGGGAAGCGTCTCCGAAATCATAGTCGATGACGATTTGAGAAGCTTGTCTGCTGATATAATTTCGAGCGCCTATTTCTGCACGAGGGGAGGAAATATTCTCGAAGCTGAAAGCACTGCAATTGGCCATGACCAAAACTAACGTTGGGGTTCCTGGTATGAGGTACTTGCCAACCTAAAACAACAGAGAGATATGGAGATTAGAGGAGGAGGTTGATGCTTTGATATTGAGTGTGGTAAATCGCCGTGTCGACGAGGTTAAATATGATTAGTATCTTTTACAAACGATACTCGATGGTGCCGATGATTTCGAGGGGCTATCTAAGGAGAGGTTCATAGTGGACGATTGCAAGAACATGTATTTTGCTGGTTATGAAACCACTGCTACAACAGCTTCATGGACCTTGATGTTACTGTCTGCATATCCAGATTGGCAGGCTCGTGTTCATGCCGAGTGATTCAAACTTGTAAAGACGGCCTTCCAGATGATAATTCAATTAGAAACATGAAGATGTTATGTTAATATAACGACAAGCTCCGCATTGATGATCATCGATTTGCATGTTTTAATCATTGTTTTCCCCTTTTGCAGCTCACAATGGTAATTCAAGAGACGTTACGCCTCCTCCTGCAACATTTGTGATAAGACAAACATTGGAAGACATCGATTTCAAAGGCATTACAATTCCGAACAACATGAACATCCAAATTCCGATCCTGGCTTTACATCAAATGCTTCAACTATGGGTCCGTGTTGAAAGTAAAGTGGGCGCCAGAAAGTCAACAAAGGGGGTTTGATTTTTTTCAATTCAGAGAACACTGATTCAAAAAAGGTGGGCACCGAATTCAATGACCAATTTTTTTTATTGAAAATTAAAATGAATAAATTGCATTTTAGACCATGCACACTTTAGGGTATTTACAAGATTAGTCCTTAAGCTTCAACTATAAATACCCTAACCCATTTAGCTTCAAAATCATCCCAAAAATCATTTTTTCTCCATATACTAGAAATTTTTCTTGTGAGTTGTGAGTGTTTTGTAAACACTTGAAATTTTTCTCTTTTTAGTAAAAGATCTGCAATAGTCCGGAGACGTAGGCAAAATTAGCTGAACTCCGTTATAAATTTCAGGTATTATTTTTCCGATTTTATTTCGCATTCTCACTAATCTGGTTATAGATTAATTACTCGATTAATTCCAAACAACTGGTATTAGAGCTTTTGGTGGTTAATTATATCGGGTTTTTGTGAGGTTACTATTCATATGAATAGTGAATTTCATGAATAGTAAAATTTTGTCGGCGATACGAATTTATCGACGGAGGTGTTCTAATACACGGTGGTTCGCAAGAATTATCAAGAGCGATCCAAAAGAAGCCAGATTCGAGTGGGATCGATGGTTGCAGACGAAGGGAAGGTGAAAATTGAGAAGTTCGATGGTGCGGACTTTGGCTTTTGGAAGATGCAGATTGAAGATTTTCTGTACCAGAAAAATTTATATCAACCTCTCTCAGGAAAGCAACCAGAGGGCATGAAGAATGAAGACTGGGCTCTTCTCGACAGACAAGCTCTTGGAGTTACTCGACTGATGTTATCCCGCAATGTTGCTTTCAACATAGAAAAGGAAAAGACCACGTCGAGTCTTATGGCGGCTCTTTCCAGTATGTACGAGAAGTCATCAGCCTCAAACAAAGTTTACTTGATGAGGCGATTATTCAATTTGCGGATGGCGGAAGGGGCATTAGTGGCTCAACACCTAAACGAACTCAACACGATCACAACCCAGTTGAGTTCCGTGGAAATTGAATTCGAAGATGAAGTTCGAGCTTTAATTCTCTTATCATCTCTACCAAACAGTTGGAATGCTACTGTTACAGCAGTCGACAGCTCGTCGGGAAACAACAAATTGAAATTCGATGATGTTCGGGATATGGTATTGAGTGAAGAAATTCGACAGAGAGAATCGGGTGAAGCATCAAGCTCCTCAGCCTTGCACACGGAGTCTAGAGGGAGAACTTCAGAAAAAAATTCAAATCGTGGCACATCGAAATCCAGAAAGGGAAAATCAAGAACGGGAAATAAATATTTTAACTGTTATAATTGTGGCAAGAAAGGTCACTTAAAAAAAGATTGACGAGCACCGAAGAAAGATACCGGCACACAGGAATCTGCCAACATGACGAAGGAGACATGTGATGCCATGATTCTAAGCGTCAACAGTCCAATTGAATAATGAATCTTAGATTCAGGGGCATATTTTCACTCCACCCCATGCCAAGAAATCATTGAGAAATATGTCAATGGTGATTTTGGGAAGGTTCATCTAGCTGATGATGAAACCTTGAAGATCGTCGAAAAAGGAGACATCCGATTAAAGTTGCCAAACCAGACCACCTGGAAGCTGACAGGAGTGAGACATATTCCTGGCCTAAAAAGAAATTTGATTTCTGTATGACAACTTGATGGACAATGATATAGTACAACCTTTTCAGGCTATGAATGAAAGATTACCAAAGGAGCACTCGTCATTGCTCGTGGTAAGAAGGCTGGTACTCTCTATCTAACCTCAAACTTAGAGAATACCATTGCAGTAGCAGATGCTGATGGAAAATCAAACCTATGGCACCAAAGACTTGGCCATATGAGTGAGAAAGGGATGAATATACTTTTATCAAAAGGGAAGCTGTCGGATCTAAAGAATATAGATGTCAGACTATATGAGGATTGCATCTTTGGCAAACAAAAGAAAGTCAGTTTTACAAAGATTGGCAAGACACCCAAGGCAGAAAAGTTAGAGTTGGTTCATACTGATGTATGGGGACCATCTCCAGTTCCATCTCTTGCAGGCTTACTATATTATGTCACATTCATCGATGATTCTACAAGGAAGGTGTGGGTCTATTTTCTGAAGAAGAAATCAGAAGTCTTTGATACCTTCAAAAAATAGAAGGTCATGGTAGAAAATGAGAATGATTTAAAAATCAAGCGGTTGAGGTATGATAATGAAGGAGAGTACAGAAATAGTAGATTCAGAGATTTCTGTGCAAACAATGAGATCAAGATGGAGACAACAGTTCCCATGACACCGCAGTAGAATGGCATAGCAGAGCGCATTAACAGAACTTTGAATGAACGTGCCAGAAGCATGAGGATACATGCTGGATTGCCCAAATTTCTATGGGCTGAAGCTATCAACACTGCAACTTACCATATCAACCGTGGGCCCTCAGTTCCCTTGGATGGTGGAATACCAAAGGAAGTTTAGAGCAAGAAAGAAATAAACCTTTCACACTTAAGAGTGTTTGGTTGTATTTCTTATGTACACATAAATTCTGCTGAAAGAAGTAAAATTAATGCCAAATCCAACAAATATGTCTTTGTTGGTTATGGCGGTGATGAGTTCGGTTACCGATTTTGGGACTATGAAAATCGAAAGATCATCAGAAACAGAGATGTCATTTTCAATGAGAATATGATGTACAAAGACATATAAATCATAGAATCAAGTAGCTCAAATATCGAAGCTGAAACAAAGGAATTTGTTGAGTTTGAGGAGATTTCTGGAAATGATGTTCAGATCAGTCCCGAAGCAGTTTAAGAAGAACCAGGCACACCAGAACTAAGACGCTCCTCCAGAATTCCTAAACCAACCCAGCGTTATTCGCATTATTTGCACTACTTGTTGCTGACTGACAATGGTGAACTAGAGTGCTATGATGAAGCGATGCAGGTGGAGGATTCTGTAAAGTAGGAGTCTTCCATGAAATATGAGATGGACTCGCTTATGTCAAATCAGACGTGGGAATTAGCTGAATTACCACCAGGCAAGAAAGCACTCCATAACAAGTGGATTTACAGGATCAAAGAAGAGCACAATAGGAGCAAACCCTACAAAGCAAGATTAGTTGTCAAAGGTTTTCAGCAAAAAAAAAGGTATTGACTACAATGAAATTTTCTCTCCAGTCGTAAAATTGTCTACAATCATACTGGTGTTAAAAATTGTAGCTGCAGAAAATCTACATCTTGAGCAGTTAGATGTAAAGACGGCTTTCCTTCATGGTGATTTGGAGGAAGAGATCTATATGAAGCAACCATAAGGTTTCATAAAGGCAGATAAGAAAAATCTGGTATACAAGTTGAAGAAGAGCTTGTATGGTTTAAAACAAGCTCCTAGACAGTAGTACAAGAAATTTGATAGTTTTATAGGGAACAATGGTTTTACCAGATGCCAAGCAGATCATTGTTGCTACATCAAGAATTTCGACAACATCTTCATTATTTTATTGTTGTATGTTGATGACATGCTCGTTGCAGGTTTAGACATGAAAGAGATTATAAACTTGAAGTAAAA